TGAGAGAAATAGGCCTTTTGTGTACATAGAAAAAGTCTTAGATCTTTGAGTTCAGCTCATGAAAAATGGGGGCAAAAACAAAATTGTTGCGTTTATAATTTTGTTCAGTGTATAGACTGAGTAAATAAATCTTGTAAAACTTCTGAATGAATATACATGAGTAAATGTAAACAGTAAACTTTGTTAATGTACAAATATACGTCCAAATATATGTAAACAATTTGTAAAGTGCAAATATACATCCAAAATATGTAAACATTTTGAAGTTCTGAGTATAAAGGCATTTGTAAGCTACAAGATAGATAGCAGCAGTACGACATTAGTGCAAAAGACTGTAAAGTGCAGAGAGTATAAAGTGTCCTGTGTGCAATGAAAGAAATGTGGGGTGAACTGTAGATTTTTAAAGTTCAGGAGTAGGTGGAAGAAGGGGGTAGGTAATGGACAGAGTTCAGCTTCCTGACAGCCTGATGGACGAAGCCTTGTGGAGCAAGCCTGAAGGCAGAAGGCTGAAGTGGAGGTTTAACGGGTGTGAGCTATCAGCAGCGATGCTGATGGCTCTGCTAGTGAAGCGGGTGTGGAAGATGTCCATAAGGGAGGGCAGAGAGACACCGATGATCTTGCTGGCTGCATTCACTGCGCGTTGCAGAGTCTTTCGACAGGATGCAGTGCTGCATCCGTACCACACTGTGATGCAGCTGGTGAGGATGCTTTCAATGGTGCCCCGGAAGAAGGAGCACATGATGGGAGGTGGGACTCATGCTTTCCTCAGTTTGCTGAGGAAGTAGAGGCGTGACTGAGCCTTCTTGGCCAGCGATGTGGTGTTTGTCATCCAGGAGAGGACTTCAGAGATATGCACCCCTAGGAACTTGGTGCTGCTCACCCTCTCTTTGGTCTTCCCCACATTGAGGAAGAGATTGTTGCCATTACACCACTGGACCAGTCGGCTCACTTCGCTCCTGTAGTTGGCCTCATTGTTGTTGGTGATGCGGCCCACTACAGTCGTGTCGTCCGCAGACTTGATGATGTGGTTGGTACTGTAACTGGGTACACAATCATGGGTCAACAGGGTGAAGAGCAGCGGGCTGAGTACGCACACTTGTGGTGCCCCTGTGCTTAGTGTGACGGTCTTAGATGTTTTTCCTCCAACCCGTACATTTTGTGGTCTCTCTGATAGTAAGTCCAGCACCCAGTTACAGAGAGAGGAGTTGAATCCCAAGTGTCTCAGTTTGTTTATTAGCTGCTATGGGATGATTGTGTTAAATGCTGAACTAAAATCCAAGAATAGCATTCACACATAGGAGTCTTTGGAGTCCAGGTGTGTAAGGGCTGGATGGAGAGCAGCTGAGATGGCATCTTCCGTGGAC